AGTTCGCCTGGACTGGGTTCTGGTGTGAGAGGCTGCCATTCCCTCTTTCGTGTGCTAGACCGGTGCCGACTGGAACCCCCGTCGAATACAGGAGTTCCCCTGGACTGGTGTTTGGTGAGAGAGGCTGCCATTCCCTCTGCCTGGAGCTGGACTGGTTCCGTCTGGAACCTCTGTCGAATACAGGAGTTCGCCTGGACTGGTGTCTGGTGTGATAGGCTGCCATTCCCTCTGTCGGGAGCTGGACTGGTGCCGACTGGAACCTCTGTCGAATACAGGAGTTCTCCTGGACTGGCTTCTGGTGTGAGAGGCTGCAATTCCCTCTGTCGGGAGCTGGACCGGTGCCGACTGGAACCTCCGTCGAATACAGGAGTTACCCTTGACTGGTGTCTGTCGATAGGAGAGGCTGCCATTCCCTCTGTCGGGAGCTGGACCGGTGCCGACTGGAACCTCCGTCAAATACAGGAGTTACCCTGGACTGGTGTCTGGTGTGAGAGGCTGTCATTCCCTCTGTCGGGAGCTGGACTGATGCCGTCTGGAACCTCTGTCGAATACAGGAGTTCGCCTGGACTGGTGTCTGTAGATAGGAGAGGCTGCCATTCCCTATGTCGAGAGGTAGACTGGTGCCGACTGGAACCCCTGTCGAATACAGGAGTTCGACTGGACTGGTGTCTGTAGATAGGAGAGGCTGCCATTCCCTCTGTCGAGAGCTAGACTGGTGTCGACTGGAACCCCTGTTGAATACAGGAGTTCGCCTGGACTGGGTTCTGGTGTGAGAGGCTGCCATTCCCTCTGTCGGGAGCTGGATCGGTGCCGTCTGGAACCCCCGTTGAATACAGGAGTTCGCCTGGACTGGGTTCTGGTGTGAGAGGCTGCCATTCCCTCTGTCGGGAGCTGGACCGGTGCCGACTGGAACCCCTGTCGAATACAGGAGTTACCCTGGACTGGTGTCTGTAGATAGGAGAGGCTGCCATTCCCTCTGTCTGGAGCTGGACTGGTGCCGACTGGAACCTCCGTTGAACATCCGTGTTCTGGTGGACTGGTTCTCGTACGTAGACAGTAGGGGCTTCCATTCCTTTGTCAGGAACTAGACTGGTGCCATCTGGAGTTTGCGAAATGCAGGAGGGCTCGTGAACTGGCTCTGATGTCTGTGGATAAAGAAAGTTCCGCCATTCCCTCTGTCGGGAGCTGGAATGTTGCCGCGTGGACCCCTGTTGAATGCAGGAATTCCCCTGGACTGGTTCTGATGTGTGTGGATACAGAGAGGTTCGCCATTCCTCTGTCGGGAGCTAAACCGGTGCTGTCTGGACGTCTGTTGAATATCGTGAGGGTCTGGTGTTGCACTGGTTCTGGCATCTGTGTGGGAGGGGAGAAGCTGACATTCTTCGGTCAGGAGGTGGACTGGTGTCTTCTGGACGTCTGTCGAATGCAGGAAGGCTCGTTGACTGGTTCTGTTGTTTATGGAGACTAGTGGCTGCCGTTTCTCTTTCGAAGCTCAACCGGTACCAGGAGGTCCGGTTGGACTGGGTTCTGGTGTGAGAGGCTGCCATTCCCTCTGTCGGGAGCTGGACCGGTGCCGTCTGGAACCCCCGTCGAATACAGGAGTTCGCCTGAACTGGGTTCTGGTGTGAGAGGCTGCCATTCCCTCTGTCGGGAGCTGGACCAGTGCCGTCTGGAACCCCTGTCGAATACAGGAGTTCACCTGGACTGGGTTCCGGTGTGAGATGCTGCCATTCCCTTTGTCGTGAGCTAGACCGGTGCCGACTGGAACCCCCGTCGAATACAGGAGTTCCCCTGGACTGGTGTTTGGTGTGAGAGGCTGCCATTGCCCTCTGCCTGGAGCTGGACTGGTTCCGTCTGGAACCTCTGTCGAATACTCGAGTTCGCCTGCACTGGTGTCTGGTGTGATAGGCTGCCATTCCCTCTGTCGGTAGCTGGACTGGTGCCGACTGGAACCTCTGTCGAATACAGGAGTTCTCCTGGACTGGCTTCTGGTGTGAGAGGCTGCAATTCCTTCTGTCGGGAGCTAGACCGGTGCCGACTGGAACCTCCGTCGAATACAGGAGTTACCCTTGACTGGTGTCTGTCGATCGGAGAGGCTGCCATTCCCTCTGTCGGGAGCTGGACCGGTTCCGACTGGAACCGCTGTCGAATACAGGAGTTCGCCTGGACTGGGTTCTGGTGTGAGAGGCTGCCATTCCCTCTTTCGTGTGCTAGACCGGTGCCGACTGGAACCCCCGTCGAATACAGGAGTTCCCCTGGACTGGTGTTTGGTGAGAGAGGCTGCCATTCCCTCTGCCTGGAGCTGGACTGGTTCCGTCTGGAACCTCTGTCGAATACAGGAGTTCGCCTGGACTGGTGTCTGGTGTGATAGGCTGCCATTCCCTCTGTCGGGAGCTGGACTGGTGCCGACTGGAACCTCTGTCGAATACAGGAGTTCTCCTGGACTGGCTTCTGGTGTGAGAGGCTGCAATTCCCTCTGTCGGGAGCTGGACCGGTGCCGACTGGAACCTCCGTCGAATACAGGAGTTACCCTTGACTGGTGTCTGTCGATAGGAGAGGCTGCCATTCCCTCTGTCGGGAGCTGGACCGGTGCCGACTGGAACCTCCGTCAAATACAGGAGTTACCCTGGACTGGTGTCTGGTGTGAGAGGCTGTCATTCCCTCTGTCGGGAGCTGGACTGATGCCGTCTGGAACCTCTGTCGAATACAGGAGTTCGCCTGGACTGGTGTCTGTAGATAGGAGAGGCTGCCATTCCCTATGTCGAGAGGTAGACTGGTGCCGACTGGAACCCCTGTCGAATACAGGAGTTCGCCTGGACTGGTGTCTGTAGATAGGAGAGGCTGCCATTCCCTCTGTCGAGAGCTAGACTGGTGCCGACTGGAACCCCTGTTGAATACAGGAGTTCGCCTGGACTGGGTTCTGGTGTGAGAGGCTGCCATTCCCTCTGTCGGGAGCTGGATCGGTGCCGTCTGGAACCCCCGTTGAATACAGGAGTTCGCCTGGACTGGGTTCTGGTGTGAGAGGCTGCCATTCCCTCTGTCGGGAGCTGGACCGGTGCCGACTGGAACCCCTGTCGAATACAGGAGTTACCCTGGACTGGTGTCTGTAGATAGGAGAGGCTGCCATTCCCTCTGTCTGGAGCTGGACTGGTGCCGACTGGAACCTCCGTTGAACATCCGTGTTCTGGTGGACTGGTTCTCGTACGTAGACAGTAGGGGCTTCCATTCCTTTGTCAGGAACTAGACTGGTGCCATCTGGAGTTTGCGAAATGCAGGAGGGCTCGTGAACTGGCTCTGATGTCTGTGGATAAAGAAAGTTCCGCCATTCCCTCTGTCGGGAGCTGGAATGTTGCCGCGTGGACCCCTGTTGAATGCAGGAATTCCCCTGGACTGGTTCTGATGTGTGTGGATACAGAGAGGTTCGCCATTCCTCTGTCGGGAGCTAAACCGGTGCTGTCTGGACGTCTGTTGAATATCGTGAGGGTCTGGTGTTGCACTGGTTCTGGCATCTGTGCGGGAGGGGAGAAGCTGACATTCTTCGGTCAGGAGGTGGACTGGTGTCTTCTGGACGTCTGTCGAATGCAGGAAGGCTCGTTGACTGGTTCTGTTGTTTATGGAGACTAGTGGCTGCCGTTTCTCTTTCGAAGCTCAACCGGTACCAGGAGGTCCGGTTGGACTGGATCTGGTGTGTTTATAAGAGAGGCCGCCACTCCTCTGTCAGGAGCTTGACCGGTACCGCCTGGATCTGCGTGTTTATACAGGAGGTCCGGTGGACTGGATCTGGTGTCTGTGTGTGTGGAGGAGAGGCTGCCGCTCCTCTTGTCAGGAGCTTGACCGGTACCGCCTGGATCTATGCGTTACACAGGAGGTCCGGTGGACTGGATCTGGTGTCTTGTGTGTGTTGAGGAGAGGCTTCCGCTACTCTGTCAGGAGCTGGACCGGTACCGCCTGGATCTGTGTTATACAGGAGGTCCAGTGAACTGGATCTGGTGTCTGTGTGTGTGGAGGAGAGGCTGCTGCTACTCTGTCAGGAGGTGGACCGGTACCGCCTGGATCTGCGTGTCTATACAGGAGGTCCGGTGGACTGGTTATGGTGTCTGTGTGTGTGGAGAGAGACTGCCGCTACTCTGTCAGGAGCTGGGTCGGTACCGCCTGGATCTCTGTGCATTACAAGGGATCTGGTGGACTGGATCTAGTGTGCGCGTAGAAGAGAGCTGGACTGGTGTATGCGAAGACATGCTTGCGGTGGTGGTGATGTTGTTATTATACAGACGTGCCCGTTTTGTTGATATAGCCGTACGATGTAGACGATGTCCACGATGGTTGTGCAGACAATGCCGTCTTCTTGATGTAGTTGATGTTAAATTTTGATTTAAAGCTTTCGTGACTGCAGTAATTCATATTCTTAGTTCTTTCGGTAAAGTCACGTTGAAGGGAAACAACAAAATAATAAGAATATAATATGTAGTTGATGTTGACGTCGCCTAGACATGCCCGTGCTGACGATGTGGATGTGGTTGATTTTCACGTCATCATCGATGATGATGATGTTGTTGTTGCCCAGACGTGCCCTTGCTGACGATGTGGATGTGGTTGATTTTCACGTCATCGTCGATGATGATGATGATGTTGTTGTTGTTGCCCAGACATGCCCTTGCTGACGATGTGGATGTGGTTGATTTTCACGTCATCGTCGATGATGACGATGATGATGATGTTGTTGTTGTTGCCCAGACATGCCCTTGCTGACGATGTGGATGTGGTTGATTTTTGACGTCGTCGTCGATGATGACGATGATGACGATGTTGTTGTTGTTGTTGCCCAGACATGCCCTTGCTGACGATGTGGATGTGGTTGATTTTCACGTCATCGTCGATGATGATGATGATGATGTTGTTGTTGCCCAGACATGCCCTTGCTGACGATGTGGATGTGGTTGATTTTTGACGTCGTCGTCGATGATGACGATGATGACGATGTTGTTGTTGTTGTTGCCCAGACATGCCCGTGTTGATGTTGGAGCCCAGCTCCTCATCCACCCTCGGTCCAACATCGCCGGCTCCCCCGGCCGCCGCCACCGCCGCACCCCCTTCCCCGTCGCTCCTCATGACCCCCCGCAAGCGCGGCTGGCCCAAGGGGGTCAAAAGGGGACCCCCCGCCGTCTCCCGCCGGCGCCGCCGCCGCAGCCACGGGCAACGGAGCGGCGCCAACCCGTCGCGGTCCACCTCCTCGCGGACCGTGGCAGGAGGCGGGGCGGCTGCTGAGAGACGGGAGGAGGAGGAGGAAGAAGAGGAGGAGGATGATGATGCGGATGAGGATGAGGAAGATGATGATGATGAGGAGGAGGATGACGAGGAGGAGGAGGAAGAGGAGAAGGAGGAGGAGAAGCCGAAGGAGCCCAATGAGGAGATAGAGACGGAGGGATGGAAAGAGCGGCTGGCGGAGAGGGTCCAGGCGAGCTCGAAGGAGAAGCGCAAGGCGGCGGAGAGGGTCCGGGAGGATGCGAGGAGCGGGAGGGGAGCGGCGGCGGCGGAAGGGCGGGGAGACGGGGCGGCAGAGCGGAGGGCGTCGGCGGAGAGAGGAGCCGTGGAGAAGATCGGCAGGAAGGGCGGTGCCCCGGTGCCGGTGGTGCCGGTGGTGCCGGCGGCGGCGGCGGCGAGAGACATGGAGAGGGCACCCGTGGTGGACGAGGAGGAGGAGGAGGAGGGGGGTGAGGAGGAGGAGGAGGAGGAGAGGGACGCGGGTAGAGCTGAGAGGGATGCGAGGAAAATCGGGAGAGACGAGGAGAGGGCCGAGAGAGACGCCGCGGCGAGATCGGACCGAGAGCCGCCGGCGAGATCGGATTTAGAGCCGCCGGCGAGAGATCCGGGGAGATCGGATCGGGCCAAAGACCGGGCGCGGGGACCGGGGAGCGACGGGAAGGGCGGCGAGCGGGGCAAGGCGGCGACGGTGGACGGAGAGACGCGGCGGGGAACCGGAGCTCGGGACGGGAGCGTGGAGGGAAAGGCCGAGAGGGGGGGCGCGGAGAGAGCCGGAGGCGGGGACGAGGAGACGAGGAGGAGGAGGAGGATGAGGAGGAGGAGTAGGGGGAGGAGCCCGGATCGTCGGGGAGCGGCGAGGCCGGAGGGCGAGGGGCCGGAGGAGGAGGAGGAGCGAGCGGGGGGCGACGAGGAGCACGGCAGGGCGAAGAGGGCCCGGCCGAGGGACGCCGTGGAGACCACGACGGCCACGACGAGGAGGAGGAGGAGGAGGATGGGGGGAGGAGGAGGAGCGGGGGAGGGAGAGGAGGAGGAGGAGGAGGGGGAGGAGGGGACGGACGCCGAGAGGAGGAGGGCGAAGAGAGCCAGGGGGAGTGACGGAGGCGAAGCAGAGGGGAGGGCCGAGCGGAGGGACGCCGCGGTGGAACCGGGCGCGGAGGGGAGGGGCAAGGAGGGAGACGCCGGGGGGAGGGGCAAGGAGGTGGACGCCGGGGGGAGGGGCAAGGAGGTGGACGCCGGGGGGAGGGGCAAGGAGGTGGACGCCGGGGGGAGGGGCAAGGAGGTGGACGCCGGGGGGAGAGACGCCGCGGTGGAGGGGGCCAGGGGGGGAGACGCCGAGGGGAGGGGCAGGGGGAGAGGCGCCGCGGTGGTGGAGATGGACGCGGCGGGGGAGGGGGCCAAGGGGAGGGTCAGGGAGGAGGGCGTCGGAGACGCGGAGAAGGCGGCGGAGGTGGAGAGGCTGAAGGGGAGGGCCGGGACCTGCGGGGGAGCGGCGGCCCCGACGGCGCGGGAGGCCTCCGGCAGGAAGCGTCGGAGGCAGGCCGGGGACGGGAGGCCGGCCGAGCGGGCGGCCCGGCGGCCTCTGAGCGACGCGAAATGTCGCGGCGGGCCGGCTGCCGACAACAACGCCGACGCGGCGGCGGCTGTGGCTGCTGCTGCTGCTGAGAAGGAGGAGGAGGAGGAGGAGGGGGCGGAGAAGAAGAGGCGAGCAGCAACGGAGCCCGGCGGGGTGCCGGGCCGCGGGAACGTCCCTCGGGACGCCGGCGAGAATCCGGCGGTCGAGACGCCGGCGGCGGAGGAGGGGAGGGGGGGCGAGGGGGAAGAGGAGGAGGAGGAGGCGGTGGAGGAGCCTCCTCGGCTCTCGCGTCCCCCGAGGCCGCAGGAGGAGACGCAGAGGAGGAGGACGAGGAGGAGGAGGAGGAGCAGGAGGGCGGGGACGGCGGCAGGCCGGCAGCAGCGGCGGCGGCGGCGGCGTCGCGACGCGGAGGAGGAGCCAGGGGGGCTGGACGACGACGACGAGGAGGAGGAGGAGGAGGAGGAGGAGGAGGACGAGGAGGAGGAGGAGGAGGAGGTGGAGGAGGTGGGGAAGGCGGTGGCGGATGACGGCGAGGAGGGGGGCGAGTGCGGGGCGGGGAGCGGCAGGCGCGGGGAGCGGCCTCCGAGGCCCAAGGCGAAGAGGCCCCGGCACCGCGAAGTCGCGGGGACGCCCAGGAGGGGCGGCGGCGGCGGCCGCCGGTCACCGGAGCGTCGCGCCAATCGGAGGGCGGAGCGACGGGCGGCGGCGGCGGCGGACGCCGGCAGGCTCGGCACGCCGGGGAAGGCCGAGGAGGAGGAGGAGGAGGATCCTGCGGTGGGGGGCAGGGCGGGACCGGAGGTGCCCGCGGCGGCGGTCGGCCGGCAGCAGCAGGAGCAGCAGCAGGTGGAGGAGCAGCAGGTGGAGGAGGAGGATGCGGAAGAGGAGGAGGCGGAGGAGGAGGAGGAGGAGGAAGAGGAGGAGGAGGAGGTGTCTGTGAAGGAAGCCGCGGCCTCGGGTTTTGACGACCCCTCGGCGGATGAAGTGAAACCGGCGGCTCCGTCGGCTCCGTCGGCTCCGTCGGCTCCGTCGGCTCCGTCGGCTCCGTCGGCTCCGCCGCCGCGTAGGCCCAGGAGGCAGGGGGTGCTGGCGGCGATCGCCGCCGCCGCCGCCGGCACCGCCACCGCGGCCGTTGAGAAGCAGCAGCGGCGCAGGAAGGATAAGCAGCAGCAGCAGCAGCCGGCGCCGGTGCCGGTGCCGGTGGCGGTGCCGGTGCCGGCGGCGGTGCCGGTGCCGGCGGCGAGGGAGAGCACCCGACCGTTGGGGCGTGAGGTGGTCTGCGTGGAGCGCGACCCGGAGACGGAGCGGGCCGTCGAGTCGCTCACCCAGGAGGCTCGGGCCCGGCGCTCGGCCCGGGACGGCCACCACCTCCTCCTCCTCCACCAGCAGCAGCAGCAGCTCCACCACCAGCAGCAGCAGCAGCAGCTCCAGCAGCAGCAGCAGCAGCAGCTGCAACTGCAGCACCTCCGTCACGTCGGCGACGATGCCCAAGGCGATCACCGCCACCACCACCACCGCCGCCACCACCACCACGAGGAGGAGGAGGAGGATGACGAAGACGAAGACGACGCCACCGAGGAGCTGATGGCGGCGGCGGCGGCGGCGGCCGGGGCCGCGGCCGCCGCCGCCGAGGAGGCCGAGGGACACCAGGAGGACGACGACGACGGGGAGGGGGAGGAGGAGGAGGAGGAGTTGGAGGGTGATGCAGAGGCGCCGGGGAGGAGGAGGGCGGCAGAGGGGGTCGCTCTCGCGGAAGCCGATTGCCCGTGTCCGACCGCGCGTCCCGGCGGCGTCGGCGTCGGCGATGAGGAGGAGGACGAGGAGGAGGAGGATGAGGTGGATGAGGTGGACGAGGAGGAGGAGGAGGATGAGTCCGGTGAAGCCGCCGCGGATGTGGAACGGCAACAGAAGCAGCGGCAGGGAGTGGAGGAGGAGGAGCGGCAGGGAGTGAGGGAGGAGGAGCGGCAACAGGAAGTGAGGGAGGAGCGGCAACAGGAAGTGAGGGAGGAGCGGCGACAGGAAGTGAGGGAGGAGGAGCGGCGACAGGAAGTGAGGGAGGAGGAGCGGCGACAGGAAGTGAGGGAGGAGGAGCAGCAGGAAGTGGAGGAGGAGGCCGATTTGGCGGCGGCGGCGGCGGCGGCTTCGCCGGAGACGGCCGAGGCCATCCGCCACCTGGAGCATAGCGAGCAGCACAGCCCCGTGGCTATCGGTGCGGTGCCCCACCACCACCACCACCACCACGACCACCACCACCACCATCTGATCCACATCAACGATGATGCGGAGGAGGAGGAGGAGGACGAGGAGGAGGAGGAGGAGGAGCGGCGCGTCGGTGCTGGAGATGAGCGGCAGGAGGAGGAGGAGGATGATGATGAGGTGGACGAGGTGGATGAGGAGGAGGAGGCCGGCCACTCGGGGGAGCTCCGGACGACGAGGGCGGTGGGGGCGGTGGCGGTGGAGGCGGTGACGGCGCCGGTGGTGGCGGGCGACCAATCTGCGGGAGAGGAGGAGGACGAGGAGGCGACGGTCGGCTCTCAGCCGCCCCACTCGCCTCTCCGTCGTCGTCCTCCTGAGGAGGAGGAGGAGGAGGTGGAGATGGAGGAGGAGGATCCGCGGCCACAGGCGCCCGGAGCCGAGTTCGGAGCCCCGGAAGCCGAGTTCGGAGCTCCGGGAACGGAGTTCGGAGCTCCGGGAACGGAGTTCGGAGCTCCGGGAACGGAGTTCGGAGCTCCGGGAACGGAGTTCGGAGCTCCAGGGGCCGGGAACGCCACTGCGGAATGCCGGGCCCCGGAGGGCCCGACGGCGGAGGACGGGGGCCCCACCGCGGAGGGTCCCAGGGCGGAGGAGGAGAGCCCCACGGCGGAGGGTCCCCAGGTGGAGGTGGCGGCAGAGTTCCGGACCGAGATGGGATTTGCCGAATCCGCGCGGGGCCGTGGCCACGCCGTTCAATCGGAGTTCACTCCGACCCGCCCCAGCCAATCGGAGTTCACTCCGACCCGCCCCAGCCAATCGGAGTTCACTCCGACCCGCCCCAGCCAATCAGAGTTCACTCCGACCCGCCCCAGCCAATCGGAGTTCACTCCGACCCGCCCCAGCCAATCGGAGTTCACTCCGACCCGCCCCAGCCAATCAGAGTTCACTCCGACCCGCCCCAGCCAATCGGAGTTCACTCCGACCTGCCCCAGCCAATCAGAGTTCACTCCGACCCGCCCCAGCCAATCGGAGTTCACTCCGAACCGCGCCAGCCAATCAGAGTTCACTCCGACCCGCGCCAGCCAATCAGAGTTCACACCGACCCATCCCAGCCAGTCAGAATTCACTCCCACCCATCCCAGCCAATCAGAGTTCACTCCGACCCAACCCAGCCAATCAGAGTTCACTCCCACTCACCACAGCCAATCAGAATTCACTCCGACCCACCCCAGCCAATCAGAGTTCACGCCCACTCACCGCAGCCAATCAGAATTCACTCCGACACACCCGAGCCAATCAGAGTTCACGCCCACTCACCGCAGCCAATCGGAGTTCACTCCGACACACCCTAGCCAATCGGAATTCACTCCCACTCATCGCAGCCAATCAGAGTTCACTCCGACACACCCCAGCCAATCAGAGTTCACGCCCACTCACCGCAGCCAATCAGAGTTCACTCCGACACACCCCAGCCAATCGGAGTTCACTCCCACTCACCACAGCCAATCAGAATTCACTCCGACCCGCCCCAGCCAATCAGAGTTCACCCCGACCCGCCCCAGCCAATCGGAATTCACCCCGACACACCCCAGCCAATCGGAGTTCACCCCGACACGCCCCAGCCAATCGGAGTTCACCCCGACACGCCCCAGCCAATCGGAGTTCACCCCGACCCGCCCCGGCCAATCGGAGTTCAAGTACCTGGCGGCGCCGGCTCAGCGGCCCCGCCCCGAGTACCCCTCGCCCCCGTCGGCCGGCCGCCCCGACTGCCAGGCCGGCAACGTCGGCGCCTGCCGAGGCCCTCCCATCCCCACCGCCGGCGACTACCGCCGGTCCCCGGCGCTGGCCAGGCGGGAGGCCTTCCAGGCGCAGGCCGCCGGCCTGGCGGCGGCCTCGCCGGCGGCCTCGCCGGCGGTGGCCTCGCCGTCTTCGCCGGCGTCGGCGTCGGCGGCGTCGGCGGCCCTGGCGGCCGCGTACGACTACCAGTCCCGCCGGGACTTCGTCCTCCTGCAGGCGCGGGCAGTGGCGGGCTTCTGCGGCGGCGACGCCGGCGGCGGGGGCGGCGGCGGGGGCGGCGGCGGGGGCGGAGGGGGCGGAGGGTGCCAGCCGTCGGCGGCCCGCGTGCGGGCGGGCGGCGGCCCCTTCCCTGGCGGCCAGGCGACCCGCGGAGACTTTGGCCCTCCGTTGCCAAGCCTGCAGCAGCAGCAGCAGCTTCTGATGCAGCAGCAGCAGCAGCAGCTGATGCAACAGCAGCAGCAGCAGCACAAGGCGATCCCTCGAGGCGGCGGTGGCGTCGACGATGTCCCGGCGATCCCTTTCACCGTCATCAAGTCCCGCTCGGGAACGTCGCCCGCCGGGGACTTCCTGCGGGCCCTCGGCAAGGCTCACGACCGCAGCCCCGGCGGAGGCCCCGGACCGCCCGGTGAGCGGCGCAGCCCGCCGGGACACGCGGCCGGCGAGCCGCCGCCGCCGCCGTCCTCGTCGTCGGTCGCCGCCGCTGCCGGCGCGGCGAGCCCCGTGCCCTCGGCGCACTCCCACGGTGGCGGCGGCTCGGGGCTGTCGAGCCCCGCGGGCTCGGCGCCCTCGTCGCTCCGCAGCCAATCGGTGCACTCGGCGAGCAGCCCGCCCCAGCCTCCTCCTCAGCCTCCTCCTCAGCCTCCTCCTCAGCAGCCCCAGCAGCCCCAGCAGCCGCCCCTCCCGCCACCCGGCGCCGACCGCGGCGACGGCGTGGAGGCGAGCCCCGTCGTGTCGGACGCCTCGCAGCCGGTCGGCGACTCGGGCTTCAGCGACCTGGGCAGCATGGACAGCACCGGCGCCGGAGACTCGTACGAAGGCTCCGGCTCCGGCGGCGGCGGCGGTTCCTACGACGGTCCAAGCCTCCAGCAGCAGCAGCAGCAGCAGCAGCAGCAGGGAGCGGTCGTCGGTGGCGGCAACGGCGGCAACGGCGGCAACAGCGGCAGCTGCTCCTACGGCCTTGCCCACCACCCGGACGCTGCCGCCGCCTGCAACCTCGTCCAGCTGCGGGCGGCTTCGGCCGCGCAGCAACAGCAGCAGCAGCAGCGGCAGCAGCAGCAGCAGCGAAGCGGCGGGGCTTCCGCCGCTTCGGCCCGGGCAGCCCTACAACAGCAGCAGCAGCAGCAGCAGAGGGTTGGTTCACCAGCTACGTGTGGGCTGAAAGCACAGGGCGGTGGCGGTGGCGGTGGTGGCGGATACCGGAGAGTGAGCGGCGGCGGCGGCGGTGTTGGCATCCGCTCCCTCTGCATGGCCTCATTCGCTCAGCAGGGGCACAGCGCCGAGCTGCTGGGCCCCATCCCTCCGTCGCTGGGCTGCTCCACATCCTCATCCGCGTCCTTGGCCTCCTCCTCATCCTCCTCGTCGTCTTCGTCCTCGCAGCAGCAGCAGCTCCAGCTCCAGCAGCAGCAGCAGCAGCTCCAGCTCCACCATCAGCAGCAGCAGCAGCAGCATCACCATCATCATCATCAGCAGCAGCAGCATCATCAGCACCACCACCACCAGCAGCACCACCACCACCAGCAGCAGCTGGCGGCCACCATGAGCCTCTACGAGCGCCTGGGCCAGGCCGACTACGGCTTCGGGCCCGGCGCGGCCGCCATGGCCGCCGCCGTACAGGCGGCCGCCGTCCAGAACTCGGCCTCCTTCAGCCTCGCCCGCCTGCAGCAGCTCACCAACGGCCTGGTGGAGCACACCCTGGGGTACGGCGCTTCGCCCGCGACCCCGGGAGGAGGAGGAGGAGGCGGTGGTGGTGGTGGTGGTGGTGGGACCGCCGGAGGCTCGTCGTCCGGCGGAGGCGGCGGCCCTTCGTCGGCCTACGTCCAGGCAGGGCCCTCGGCGTCTCCCGGCTACGGCGGCGGCGGCGGCGGCGTTCTGTCGCACCTCCCCGCCGGCTCCACTCCTCCTCCTCCTCCTCCGCAGACTCCCCACGTGGCCTTGAGCCACCACCACCAGCAGCAGCAGCAGCACCCTCACGCTCACCACCTCCACGCTCACCACGCTCACGCCCCTCACCTCCACCACCACGCGCAGCGAGCGCAGCAGCTCAAGGGGCCCGGCGGGGGCGGCGGCGGCGGCGCCGGAGTCTCGGCGGCCACCGGCGGAGCCGGAGGAGGCGGCGGAGGAGGCGGAGGAGGAGGAGGCGGAGGCGGGCCGGGGAGCTTGGCCGCGCCCGGCGGATCCGGCGGATCCGGCGGCGGCGACGGCGGCTCGGGGGTCCCGCCGCCGACCCGGCCGCCGGGCGGGCAGCCGCAGCTCTTCAGCTGCACGGCGATGCAGCAGTCGCGGGCCCTCGGGGCCTCGCCGGGGGCCTCCCAGCGGGCCGTGGGGGCGATGGGCGGACTCGGCCTGCTGGCCCCCACGGGGGGCGGAGGAGGAGGAGGAGGCGGCTTGGCGGGGGCGGGCGGAGCCCCGAACCCGGCCCACGGAGGGGCTTACGGCCCCGCCGCCATTCAGTACCGCGTGCACCCGCACGGGCAGCAGCACCCCCCTCACCCGCACGGCCACGGAGGCAGCAGCGGCGGCGGTCACCCCGGGGTGCCCGGGGTGCCCGGGGTGCCCGGTCACCCCGGGCACCCCGGTCACCCCGGTCACCCGAACCTTCACCCCCACGCTGCCCACCACCACCACCACCACCCCCACCACCACCACCCTCACCCTCACGCCCCCCACCACCACGCCTCGCCCCACCACCACCACCACCACCACGCGGCCGCCTACGGCTATGTCGGGCAGCCGCAGTACCAGGTGGGGCCCCTGGGGATGATGGCGCTCTCGCACCAGGAGCAGCACCCGGCGGCGGCGCCGTCGGCGGTGCCGCCCGGCGCCGGGGCGGCCTCGGGGGGCGGCGGCGGAGGCGGCGGAGTCGGCGGAGGCGGCGGAGGCGGCGGAGGCGGCGGAGGCGGCTCGCACCTCGGCTCGATGCTGTGCTCGCCGGTAGCCGGCGTCGGAGTTCAGCCGGTCGGCGGTGCCGGAGGAGGAGGAGGAGGAGGAGGAGTCCACCCCCACGCTCACCCCCACGCTCACCCCCACGCTCACCCCCACGCTCACCCGTTGGCCCACGCCCACCCCACCCACACCCCGCCACCGCCTGCCCAGCAGCAGCAGCAGCAGCAGCCGGCGGCGGCGGCGGCGGCGGCCTCGCAGGGAGGGGCCAATTCGGCGTCCGCCGTTGCCAATTCGGCGGCCGCCGCCGGGGTCAACGTCCCTCACCACCACCACCACCATCAGCAGCAGCAGCAGCAGCATCAGCAGCAGCAGCAGCAGCTGGGCCACCCTCACCACGTGCACCACGCTCACCACGCCACCGCCGCTCACCACGCCGTCGCCCAGCACCACGCGGCGGCCGCGGCCGCGGCGGCGGCGGCGGCGGCCGCGGCTGCGGCCGCCGCCGCCGCCTACATGGGGAAGGGGGGAGGGGGGGGAGCGGCGGCGGCGGCGGCGGGGGGGGGGCGTGGGAGGGGGAGGGGGGAAAGGCGGCGGGGGGAGGGGAGCGGGGGGGGGCTACATGCGACGGTGACCCCCCTCCTTGCCGCCGGAGACGAAGACGGTGACCCCTACCAGATTTGAAGACGGTGACCCCTACCGGATTTGAAGACGGTGACCCCTACCGGATTTGAAGACGGTGACCCCTACCGGATTTGAAGACGGTGACCCCTACGGGATTTGAAGACGGTGACCCCTACCGGATTTGAAGACGGCGACCCCTGCCGGATTTGAAGACGGTGACCCCTACCGGACTTGAAGACGGTGACCCCTACCGGATTTGAAGACGGTGACCCCTACCGGATTTGAAGACCGTGACCCCTACCGGATTTGAAGACGGTGACCCCTACCGGATTTGAAGACGGTGACCCCTACCGGATTTGAAGACGGTGACCCCTACGGGATTTGAAGACGGTGACCCCTACCGGATTTGAAGACGGTGACCCCTACCGGATTTGAAGACGGTGACCCCTACCGGATTTGAAGACAGTGACCCCTACGGGATTTGAAGACGGCGACCCCTGCCGAAGACGGAGGGCGGTGATTGGGAGGAAGGAGCTGATGGACTCCGTGGGGGGGGCTGGGTGGTGGTGGTGGTGGCGGGGGTGGAGGAGGAGGGGCGGACAGTGGAGGCAGAGGATGATGGCTGGCTGCCGGGAACGGTTCTCTCACCCGGGGATCAAGTGCCGGGACGCGGTTGAAGCCAAGGCGTCTCCACCGATGGGGAGAGGCGTCTCAAAAGTGTTACACCCCCTCCTCTCTCTCTCTCATCATCCTTCTCCCCGTGGAAGACGACAAAAACGTGGGCGGGCGTGGGAGCGTTGGTTGGTTAGGGAGGGGGGGTGGGGGAGCGGGGGTTAGGAACGACGGTTCTCCGGAAGTTCCTCCGGAATCCTCCGGAAGTTCTCCGGAAGTTCCTCCGGAATTCTCCGGAATCTTCCGGAATTCTCCGGAATCTTCCGGAAGTTCCTCCGGAATTTTCCAGAGTCCTCCGGCGCTCTCTTACCCCTCCTCCCGGCCCGGAAGCCCCGGACGTTGTTGCCTCGACCGCTCCCGACGGTTGTTGTTGTTGTTTTGTCTTTTTTTTCTGAGGGCGGGGAGCGGCGGGCTGGGGCCTGGGGGTGGGTAAGGTGCCGTTGCAGGGGCAGCTATGCGGGTGGAGGGGTTTGAGAGGGGGATGAGGAGCGGCTGTGGGGGGTGTACAGCGCGTTTAAAAGTTAATCCGCACGGCGCGCTCACAGACACACGGGGGGCAGGGAGGGAAGGGGGGGGGGGGGGGGCCCGCTATAGCGGACGGGGCCGAGAAGGCGGATATGGGGGGTCCGGCTTATAGGGTGCACGGCTATAGGGGACGATGGTGGGTGGGGGGTGGGGTTGGGGCTACGAGGTGGCGCGTGTAAATAGGTGGCGCTGGCGACGACGCATTTCGTGTACATTGCTGGCGGGGAGAGTTGTCATGCGGCGGCTGAGGCGGCTGAGGCGGTGGTGGCGGTTGTTGTTGTTGTTCGTTGGCCTGGTAGCTCCGCTCAATAGCGGAATCTGAGGCGCATGGTAGCCGAGACCGCCACCGCCGCCACCGCCCGGCTTCTGGTGTACATAGCGCGAGGGACCCCCTCTGATGGGACTGGCGCCGTTCCTTGACGAGTTTTTATTTTTTACTTTTTCCCCCCGCCGCGCAGCTTCTGAGGCACGTCGTGGCGCTCCTGGTGAGGTGTGGAGCGAGAGCGGGCGGCTACGTGCGGGAACACCCGCAGGGCCGTGGGTCTGTCCGTCTCTCTGTCGATGATATCTCTATCTATCAATGTCTCTATTAGTCTATCAATATCTCTATCAATGTCTCTATCAATATCTCTATCCATCTCTCTATCCATCTCTATCAATCTCTCTATCCATCTCTATCAATCTCTCTATCAATATCTCTTATCAATCTCTCTATCAATGTCTCTATCAATCTCTCTATCAATATCTCTTATCAATCTCTCTATAAATGTCTCTATCAATGTCTCTATCTATCTATCCATCTCTATCAATGTCTCCATCGATATCTCTCAATCTCTCTATCAATGTCTCTATCAATCTCTCTATCAATCTCTCTGTCCATCGCTCTATCAATCTCTCTATCAATCTCTCTATCAATATCTCTATCAATATCTCTAATCTATCAATCTCTATCAATATCTCTATCAATGTATCTATCTATCAATGTCTCTATCGATCTCTCTATCAATATCTCTATCAATGTCTCTATCTCTCTATCAATATCTCTATCAATGTCTCTATCTATCTATCAATATCTCTATCAATGTCTCTATCAATCTATCAATATCTCTATCGATCTCTCTATCAATCTCTATCGATCTCTCTATCCATATCTCTACAATTATCTCTATCAATATCTCAATCTCTCCATCAATCTCTTTATCAATCTCTCTATCAATCTCTTTTTCAATCTATCAATATCTCCATCAATCTCTATCAATCTCTTTATCCATCTCTATCCATCTCACTATCAATCTCTTTATCCATCTCTCTATCAATCTCTTTAGCCATCTCTCTATCAATCTCTTTAGCCATCTCTCTATCAATCTCTCTATCAATTTGTCTATCTATCTATCAATGTCTCTATCGATCTCTCTATCAATATCTATCAATGTGTCTATCTATCTATCAATGTCTCTATCAATGTATCTATCAATGTCTCTTTCAATGTCTCTATCAATATCTCTATCAATCTCTCTATCAATATCTCTATCAATCTCTATCATCTCTCTATCAATCTCTCTAACGATCTCTCTATCAATCTCTCTTTCAATATCTCTATCAATCTCTTTCAATATCTCTATCGATCTCTCTATCGATCTCTCTATCCATCTCTCTATCAATCTATCAATCTCTATCAATATCTCTATCCAGCTCTCTATCAATCTATCTATCAATATCTATATCGATCTCTCTGTCAATATCTCTATCAATGTCTCTATCAATCTCCCTATCGATCTCTATCAATCTCTCTATCCATCTCTCTGTCAATCTCTCTATCGAACTCTCTGTCAATATCTCTATCGATCTCTCTGTCAATATCTCTATCGATCTCTCTATAAATCTATCTATCAATATCTCTATCCATCTCTCTATCAATATCTCTATCCATCTCTCTATAAATCTATATTCATCTCTATATCAATCTATCTATCAATATATATCTCAATCTCTCTATCAATCTCTCTATCACTATCTCTATCAATGGTTAGAGATTGATAGATGGTTAGAGATTGATAGATGGTTAGAGATTGATAGATGATTAGAGATTGATAGATGGTTAGAGATTGATAGATGGTTGTTGATTGATGGATGGTTAGAGATTGATAGATGGTTAGAGATTGATGTAGAGATTGATAGATGGTTAGAGATTGATAGATGGTTGTGGATTGATAGATGGTTGTGGATTGATAGATGGTTAGAGATTGGTAGATGGTTAGAGATTGATAGATGGTTAGAGATTGACAGATTGTTATAGATTGATAGATGGTTAGAGATTGATAGATGGTTAGAGATTGATAGATGGTTAGAGATTGATAGGGAGGTTGATAGATGGTTAGAGATTGATAGATGGTTAGAGATTGACAGAGATATTGATAGATGGTTAGAGATTGATAGATGGGTAGAGATTGATAGATGGTTAGAGATTGATAGATGGTTGTGGATTGATAGATGGTTAGACATTGATAGAGAGATTGATAGATGGTTAGAGATTGATGGATGGTTAGAGATTGATGGATCGTTAGAGATTGATGGATGGTTAGAGATTGATGGATGGTTAGAGATTGATAGATGGTTAGAGATTGATAGATGGTTAGAGATTGATAGGTGGTTAGAGATTGATAGATGGATAGAGATTGATAGATGGTTAGAGATTGATAGATAGTTAGAGATTGATAGATGGTTAGAGATTGATGGATGGTTTATGGATTGATAGATGGTTAGAGATTGATAGATGGTTAGAGATTGATAGATGGTTAGAGATGTATAGATGGTTAGATATTGATAGAGATTGATAGATGGTTAGAGATTGATAGATGGTTAGAGATTGATAGATGTTTAGAGATTTATAGATGGTTAGAGATTGAAAAATGATTCGACATTGATAGATGGTTAGAGATTGATATATGGTTGTGGATTGATAGATTGTTAGAGATTGATAGAGAGATTGATAGATGGTTAGAGATTGATAGATGGTTAGAGATTGATGGATGGTTGTGGATTGATAGATGGTTAGACATTGATAGATGGTTGTGGATTGATAGATGGTTAGACATTGAAAGATGGTTGTTGATTGATGGATGGTTGTTGATTGATGGATGGTTGTGGATTGATGGATGGTTGTTGAGTGATGTAGAGATTGATAGATGGTTAGAGATTGATGGATGGTTGTGGATTGATAGATGGTTAGACATTGAAAGATGGTTGTTGATTGATGGATGGTTGTTGATTGATGGATGGTTGTGGATTGATGGATGGTTGTTGATTGATGTAGAGATTGATAGATGGTTAGAGATTGATGGATGGTTGTGGATTGATAGATGGTTAGAGATTGATAGATGGTTATAGATTAATAGATGGTTAGAGATTGATAGATGGTTAGAGATTGATAGAGAGATTGATGGATGGTTAGAGATTGATAGATGGTTAGAGATTGATAGATGGTGAGAGATTGATAGATGGTTGTTGATTGATGGATGGTTGTGGATTGATAGATGGTTAGAGATTGATAGATGGTTAGAGATTGATAGATGGATAGAGATTGATAGATGGTTAGAGATTGATAGATGGTTAGACATTGATAGATGGTTAGAGATTGATGGATGGTTGTGGATTGATAGATGGTTAGACATTGATAGATGGTTGTTGATTGATGGATGGTTGTGGATTGATGGATGGTTGTTGATTGATGTAGACATTGATAGATGGTTAGAGATTGATGGATGGTTGTTGATTGATGTAGAGATTGATGGATGGTTATTGATGGATGGTTACGGACGAGCGAGAGAGGGATTGATAGATGGTTAGACATTGATAGATGGTTGTTGATTGATGTAGAGATTGATGGATGGTTATTGATAGATGGTTGTGGATTGATGGATGGTTGTTGATTGATGTAGAGATTGATGGATGGTTGTTGATTGATGTAGACATTGATAGATGGTTATTGATGGATGGTTATTGATGGATGGTTACGGACGGGCGAGAGAGGGATTCAGTTTTGTTTTTTCGCTTCCTGTTTCTTTGTTTTCGTTTTATATTTATCAAAGTGAATGACGACATTGATGACGACATTGATGACGGCATCCATGTCTATGGTGACATTTACGGCGATGACGTCGATGACGATGATGATGAAGACATCGATGACGTCGATGGCGATGACGTCATCGATGACGATGGCTATGGATATTTACAGTGGGTTAGGGGTTAGCGTCGCTTCGCGCCCAACCGGTTTTGCTTTCTATGAAACCGCTTCCACCCTCACCACACTCACCACCACACTCACCACCACACTCACCACCACACTCACCACCACACTCACCACCACCCTCACTACTACACTCACCACCACACACACCACCACACTCACCACCACACTCACCACCATACTCTCCACCACACTCACCACCACACTCACCACCACACTCACCACCACACTCACCACCACACACACCACCACACTCACCACCACACTCACCACCACACTCTCCACCATACTCTCCACCACACTCACCACCACACTCACCACCACACTCACCACCACACTCACCACCCTCACCACACTCACCACCACACTCACCACCACACTCATCACCACACTCACCACCACACTCACCACCACACTCACCACCACACTCACCACCACACTCACCACCACACTCACCACCACACTCACCACCACATTCACCACCACACTCTCCACCATACTCTCCACCACACTCACCACCACCACACTCACCACCACCACACTCACCACACTCACCACACTCACCACCACTCACCACCACCCTCACCACACTCACCACCACCCTCACCACACTCACCACCACACTCACCACACTCACCACCACACTCACCACCACTCTCACCACCACCCTCCCCACACTCACCACCACTACCATCACCACAACCATCACCACCACCACAACCATCACCACAACCATCACCACACTCACCACCACCCTCAGCACCCTCACCACCACCATCACCACACTCACCACCACCCTCACCATCCTCACCACCATCATCACCACACTCACCACCACCCTCACCACCACCCTCACCACACTCACCACCACCACCCTCACTACAACCATCACCACAACCATCACCACAACCACCACCACCACCATCCCCACCACCACCATCCCCACCACCACTACCCTCACCACAACGATCACCACAACCATCACCACAACCACCACCACAACCACCACCACCACAACCACCACCACACTCACCACCACCACAACCATTACCACAACCACCACTCTCACCACCACCATCCCCACCACCACTACCCTCACCACAACGATCACCACAACCATCACCACAACCATCACCACAACCACCACCATCACCACAACCATCACCACAACCACCACCACACTCGCCACCACCACAACCAGCACCACAACCACCACCACAACCACCACCATCACCACCACACTCACCACCACCACAAACCGGCACTACAACCACCACCCACATTAACCCCCCTTCTCCTCCTCTAAGCCTCACGTTCGTGTTAGCGCTGCCTGCCCGATCTCCTTTCCCGAAACGTCGTCACTTTGAACGTCGTTTTGAACGTCGCTTTGAACGTCGAGTTGTCGCGTGGACTGGGCAGAGCGAATAAAACTATCCAGACGACAAACGTGTGAATTGAGTGGGTGAGTGGGTGAGCGGGTGAGTGAGTGAGTGAGTGGGTGAGTGGTTTGGTTGGTGAGTGGGTGGGTGGGTGAGTGGGTGAGTGTGATTGAGTGGGTGAGTGGGTGGGTGGGTGAGTGAGTGGGTGGGTGAGTAGGTGGGTGGGTTAGTGGGTGGGTTGGTGGGTGGGTGAGTGGGTGGGTGAGTGGGTGGGTGGGTAGGTGAGTGGGTGGGTGAGTGAGTGTGTGAGTGGGTGAGTGGGTGGGTGGATGAGTGAGTGGGTGGGTGAGTTAGTGGGTGGGTGAGTTAGTGGGTGGGTGAGTGGGTGGGTGGGTGAGTGGGTGGGTGAGTTAGTGGATGGGTGAGTGGGTGGGTGAGTTAGTGGGTGGGTGAATGACAGGGTGGTTGAGTGGGTTAGTGACAGTGAGTGGGTGGGGTGCTCGCTAACAGCACTTGCCCCTAGTCTGTTAAAGGCTTCACTCACTCACCCACCCACTCACTCACCCTGTCACTCACTCACCCACTCACCCATCCACTCACCCACCCACTCACCCACCCACTCACCCACCCATTCACCCACTAACCTACTCTCCCACCAACCCACCCACTCACCCACCCACCTACCCACCCACCTACTCACGCACCCACCCACTCACCCTGTCACTCACCCACCCACTCACCCACCCACCTACCCACCCAACCACTCACGCACCCATTCACCCACAAACCCACTCACTCACTCACCCACCCACCCACCTACCCACTCACCCACCAACCCACTCACCCTGTCAGCCACCCACTCACTCACCAACTCACCCACCCACTCACTCACCCTGTCACTCACTCACCCACTCACCCACCCACCTACCCACTCAACCACTCACCCACCTATTCACCCACTAACCCCCTCACTCATCCACCTACCCACTCACCCACCCACCCACCCACTCACCCACCCATTTACCCACTCATCCACCCAACGACCCACCTACCCACTCACCCACTCACCCTGTCACCCACCCACTCACCCACTCACCCACCCACTCACCCACTCACTCACTCACTCACCCACTCACCCACCCATTCACCCACTCACTCACCCACCCATCCACCCACCCTCCCACTCACTCATCCACCCACTCATCCTGTCACCCACCCACCCACTCACCCAATCACTCACTCACCCACCCACCCACTCACACACTGGACTGGTGTCTGTAGATAGGAGAGGCTGCCATTCCCTCTGTCGGGAGCTGGACTGGTGCCGACTGGAACCCCCGTTGAATACAGGAGTTCGCCTGGACTGGTGTCTGTAGATAGGAGAGGCTGCCATTCCCTCTGTCGGGAGCTGGACTGGTGCCAACTGGAACCCATGTCCAATACAGGAGTTACCCTGGACTGGTGTCTGGTGTGAGAGGCTGCCATTCCCTCTGCCGGGAGCTAGACTGGTGCCAATTGGAACCTCTGTCGAATACAGGAGTTCCCCTGGACTGGTGTCTGGTGTGAGAGGCTGCCATTCCCTCTGTCGGGAGCTGGACTGGTGCCGTCTGGAACCCCTGTTGAATACAGGAGTTCGCCTGGACTGGTGTCTGTGGATAGGAGAGGCTGCCATTCCCTCTGTCGGGAGCTGGACCGGTGCCGTCTGGAACCCCCGTCGAATACAGGAGTTACCCTGGACTGGTTCCGGGTGTGAGAGGCTGCCATTTCCTCTGTCGGGAGCTGGACCGGTGCCGTCTGGAACCCCTGTCGAATACAGGAGTTCTCCTGGACTGGTGTCTGTAGATAGGAGAGGCTGCCATTCCCTCTGTCTGCAGGTAGACTGGTGCCGTCTGGAACCTCTGTCGAATACAGGAGTTACCCTAGACTGGTGTCTGGTGTGAGAGGCTGCCATTTCCTCTGTCGGGAGCTGGACTGGTTCTGTCTGGAACCCCTGTCGAATACAGGAGTTACCCTGGACTGGTGTCTGTTGATAGGAGAGGCTGCCATTCCCTCTGTCTGGAGCTAGACCGGTGCCGACTGGAACCCTTGTCGAATACAGGAGCTACCCTGGACTGGTGTCTGGTGTGAGAGGCTGACATTCCCTCTGTCGGGAGATAGACCGGTGACGTCTGGAACCCCTGTCGAATACAGGAGTTCCCCTGGACTGGTGTCTGGTGTGAGAGGCTGCCATTCCCTCTGTCGGGAGCCTGACTGGTGCCATCTGTAACCCCTGTCGAATACAGGAGTTACCCTGGACTGGGTTCTGGTGTGAGAGGCTGCCATTCCCTCTGTCGGGAGCTGGACTGGTTCCGTCTGGAACCTCTGTCGAATACAGGAGTTATATTGGACTGGTGTCTGGTGTGAGAGGCTGCCATTCCCTCTGTCGGGAGCCTGACTGGTGCCATCTGGAACCCTTGTCGAATACAGGAGTTACCCTGGACTGGTGTATGGTGTGAGAGGCTGCCATTCCCTATGTCGGGAGCTGGACCGGTGCCGTCTGGAACCCCTGTCGAATACAGGAGTTCGCCTGGACTGGTGTCTGTAGATAGGAGAGGCTGCCATTCCCTGTCTGGAGCTAGACCGGTGCCGACTGGAACCCCTGTCGAATACAGGAGTTACCCTGGACTGGTTCCTGGTGTGAGAGGCTGCCATTCCCTCTGTCGCGAGCTGGACTGGTTCCGTCTGGAACCCCTGTCGAATGCAGGAGTTACCCTGGACTGGTGTCTGGTGTGAGAGGCTGCCATTTCCTCTGTCGGGAGCTGGACTGGTGCCGTCTGGAACCCCTGTTGAATACAGGAGTTCGCCTGGACTGGTGTCTGTGGATAGGAGAGGTTGCCATTCCCTCTGTCGGGAGCTGGACTGGTTCTGTCTGGAACCCCTGTCGAATACAGGAGTTACCCTGGACTGGTGTCTGTTGATAGGAGAGGCTGCCATTCCCTCTGTCTGGAGCTAGACCGGTGCCGACTGGAACCCTTGTCGAATACAGGAGCTACCCTGGACTGGTGTCTGTAGATAGGAGAGGCTGCCATTCCCTCTGTCGGGAGATAGACTGGTGCCGTCTGGAACCTCTGTCGAATACAGGAGTTCGCCTGGACTGGTGTCTGGTGTGAGAGGCTGCCATTTCCTCTGTCGGGAGCTGGACTGGTGCCATCTGGAACCTCTGTCGAATACAGGAGTTCCCGTGGACTGGTGTCTGGTGTGAGAGGCTGCCATTCCCTCTGTCGGGAGATAGACCAGTGCCGTCTGGAACCCCTGTCGAATACAGGAGTTCTCCTGGACTGGTGTCTGTAGATAGGAGAGGCTGCCATTCCCTCTGTCTGCAGGTAGACTGGTGCCGTCTGGAACCTCTGTCGAATGCAGGAGTTACCCTAGACTGGTGTCTGGTGTGAGAGGCTGCCATTTCCTCTGTCGGGAGCTGGACTGGTTCTGTCTGGAACCCCTGTCGAATACAGGAGTTACCCTGGACTGGTGTCTGTTGATAGGAGAGGCTGCCATTCCCTCTGTCTGGAGCTAGACCGGTGCCGACTGGAACCCCTGTCGAATACAGGAGTTCCCCTGACTGGTTCCTGGTGTGAGAGGCTGCCA